GGACTGAGAGGAATCCTGGGAGGAATCCTGGGAGGAACCTGAGGTCTTCTAACCTTGGCTCACATCGGTGACCCTCGCTGTTTACTTCAGGACCCATGCTGGCTGGCCAGCCTCCAGCTGTGCTGGCATTGTTGGTGACTCCTCTTGGTTCTCAGTGCCTCTCCTGCCGTGGCATTTCCCAGAGGCTCTCTGGACCTCTGCCCAGGGCTCCAGCTGGGTCCTGATCCAGCTCAGGCTCCAGAGAGAAGTGAACCCTGGATTTAATACCACTGACCTGATGTTCACCCTGGCTCTGCACCTTCGCTCTCAGTGTGACCTGGATGGATGTGTGGGCTCTCCGAGGGGCAGTACCCTCCTGCCCAGAACCAGGGTGGAGATGCTTCTGGGATCGTCATGAGAGGAGGATATTATGGTGCCAGCTCAATGCCTGGCATTTAGGAGCCTCTGGAAATGTGGCGAATAAATATGGATGAGTCAGGCAGGGGCAGCAGGGACTGGTGGGTGAGAAGTGGTCTGAGGGGAAACCAACCTGTAGATGTGGCATTGAGGGGCCAGGCAGACCCAACTCACCTCCTGGCTCTGCCACTTACGAACAGAACTCTGTGCTCTGGGGTCTCCGTTGACTGCTATCTGTGTGGTGGTAGCGATGGAAGGTTGGGCCTGGGGACTGCCCTGAGGCCCACGTCACAGCACGGTGATGGCCTGGTTGGATCCACAGCACCAGCAACATGCAGAGTCCGTAATCAGCACTCGTCTCTCCTTCATAGGCACAGTAGGTCCCCGAAGGGTAGTTCCCAAATGCTTTGATTACCCCCCACTGTGGCAGCGCAGAGACATGGAGCTTCTAAAGGTCAGGCTTTCTCTCTGCTCAGACAAAGGGACAACTGAGGCCAGATGCAGCCCTGCGGCACTGGCTGAAGCCAGCTAAAGGCTCTGGTGCCGGAGTGGTGGGGCTCTCTCTGTTCTCAGAGCAAAGGGTGAGGGGGAATGTTGCCTGTACAGAATGTAAAGAAACAAATAAGACCGAGTCAGTCTTATTGTCACCGTGCCCTGGCACCTCTGAACAGGGCAGTGATAAAACTGTGCTCCTGTCAGGGGCAGGTGCTCCCCCAGCGTGGAATGCGGCTGCCTCTGCATCCTCCTGGAGAGCGCTGCGGTGGCTGTAAATATCAGGGAGGAAACGGAGCCCTGGCAGAGGGAGCCCTGATGATCTGGAGAGCAAGCCGGTACTGATTGCAGTGGCGGCCTGGATTTGGGGCCCAGGAGACCAGGGAGGGGGAGGGGATCTCATTCTGAGGGGAGGGCAGAGGAGCAGGGGAGTCAGTGCAGGGAATGGAAGTGACAGCTGTGGGCTCTGGATGGGAGAGGCATTGTCTAGGCCCTTGGGCATGGGTAGAAGAAGGCATATTCTATCTTTCTTGGGCTTGCTAGGAAGGCAGCGCTGAGGGGTTCAGGGAGAGCCCCTGGTCAGGAGTCTGGTGCTGGCTGGTGCTGGCTGGGGTGGGCACCATGCTAGTCTACTCTCTGGGGAGCTACTCTGCTCTCCAAGAGGGCTTGGCCTCTTGATTATAGGAAGAAAGGACCCAGGGTGGTCCTCTGGGTTTGGGGAGGGTGAGATTTATATTTCCCTACCCTTGATGCAGAGATGTGCTGAGGACCATACTGAACACTTTTAGAGGAGTATGGCTATTATTCAGACAGGTTTCTTTGCAGGGTGTGGAGGGGCTGCTGTAGAAGGATTGTGGGCACATCTTTCGCCAAACTGGAGGAGGCTCAGTGGATGTGCAAGAGGACAGGTGTGTCCCTGGGGCTGGCTGAACATTGTGTGTGTGTGTGTGTGTGCTCGCTTGCACGCTTAGGGGCATGGCATCTGGCATTGTTCAGCCCCTTTCCTGGCTGAACTCTTAGTTGACCTCGTGCTGTAGCAGCAATGGGGAAGCAGACAGCTGCAGTTCCTGGTGTACCTGAAGGTGTGTGGTAGTCAAGGTGGACCTCAGCGGTGACCCTATAGTGAGAAGATCAGAGACTTTTGGACATGGGGGTGTTAGAGTCCCTTTTCTGGATCTGCTCCCAAAGGCAAGTGCATCTGGTTCCTTTTGGAGCTCATCTGGAACCGGGAAGTAGGCTGGCTGGTGGTTGTCTGGGGCTCCTGAGGCTGAGCAGCCAAGCTAAGCCCAGCCCACAGGCAATTCCCAGAAACTTGTGGCACTGTCAGATCCTTGGCTGGATGCTGAGGAGTTGGCAAGAGATACTGCAGGAATCACAAACAGGTTTTATCTAAGTGTCAACTCTGAACAATTGGTACCAGCTGCCAGAAGGGCTGTGATGGGAAGGATTCTGAGGTGCTATTCTGAGCTGGGTGGGAAGCATGCTATGATTGATTTGTGATGCCTGTCCTGGCAAGAGACAGGGCACAATGCAAGGGTGACTGATTTGTTATGTCTGTCCTGGCAAAGGGATAGGGGCAATGGCAAGGCACTTGCCAACTCTGGTGTAGTGGAAATACAGAGTCTAGATTTGATCGTAGGTGAATAAGTCTCTGCTTATTACTAAATGGTAATAAAATGCTGTCCTTCCAACCCATGAAGCTTATTGTGGGCCTTGATTCTTTTTTTTTTTTTTTTTTTTGGTGCCAGGAATTGAACTCAGGACTTTGTGCTTGCCAACAGGTACTTGTGCCACTGAGCTATATTCCTGGCCCTGGGCATTGATTCTGATAGTGGGATAAAAGCAATTTGTAAAAAGACTTAAACAGTGATAAAAATGCATAGCAAGGATTTTGTTATTGAATTATCCACCAATCCAAAGTGACTTCACAATAATAAAATCTACAGCTTCTACTTCCTCTACTCCACTGGGCACCGTGAGATAGCCTGAGTGTGCACGGCCCTTCGTGACATCATATGTAACTGGTGTGTTACCTGGGACCCTGGCCCCTGATAGACTCTTGGCTAAAGTGTCAACTATATGTCTGGTCACTTTCCTGACAAGAAGTCACTTCATTACTGCCACAGACTCTCTCCCTAACTTAAGATTTGGAGACCATTATTGTGTTTAATGAGAAAAATAATATCTCTCTGTAGAACTGTGTCTCTTGACTCTCCATTAAAGGTAGCAGAATTGCTTTATAAAGTCTAAAAGCCTGACAAGAGCACGTATTAATAACGCATGAATTATGCAAATATGTATGTAGTCATTTGATTTGCATAATGGAGGGGGTGGGGGAAGGCTGGGGAGGGGAGAGAGTGTGTCGGGTGAGGGAGCCTGCCCAGATCTATGCATACTGACGGACTCCACTCACCCCTCTGGGTGAGCCTCCTCCTCTGCACCCCTGCTGCTGCTGGTGGGATGGTCCTCAGCCCTTCCGGCTGGCCTGCTGTCAGTCAGCCGGCAGCATCCTCCCTCTTGCAGGCGGCCACCAAGCCAGGCTCAAATGGCCCTCTGCTTGCTTCTTGTGCAGAGCTGGCTTCATTAAACCTCACAGGTGCCCCTCCATGTGCAGACAGCTTTCCCGAGAAGTCCCTGGGGTCATTATTTCTCCAATGTCTGTCTTGCCGAGGCGTTGGGCTATGTTAAGTGAGACTGGAATTGTAACTATTGCCAAGTGCCTTGTCCTCAAGCTCCATGGGATGCCAGTGGGGTTCTGGAACGAGGGCTCCCACTGACCCCTCTCACCTGTCTACGTCCTCTCTGGGCACTTTCGACTCTAGGTTTGAAGGGCTTTAGGCTCTGGATCCAAGGGCCTCCACCTTTTTTTTTTTTTTCCCTTTGGTACTAGGGATTGAACCCAAGGCTCCCTCACTGAGCTATATTTCTAGTCCTTTATATTTTATTTTGAGGTAGAGTCTTGGGAAGTCATTAAGTTGCCCAGGCTGGGCTTAAACTTGAGATCCTCCTGCCTCAGCCTCCCAGACTGCTGTGATTGCAAGTGTGTTCCATCACACTAGGCTAGGTTCCCGTCAGCCTCCCTGAACCCTCACTAATCTTAGGGCTTTGGATCTGACAAGGCTGAGGTTGGAACTGAAGGTGCTTAAAGGCTTAGTCCAGTGGGTCCTGCCTGGAAGCCTGGGTTGGGAGAGGATGAAGCATGGGGAGTGGCCAGGCAGCTGGCTTCTCCAGAAAGCACTAGGTCTCTGGGGCGCCGCCTTGTTCTAGGGAGTGGGGGTGGGTGGAGAGATGCAAGGAGCCAGCCCTGATTGGGGTGGGCGGGAAGGGATCAAACTTCTCCAGCGTAGTTCCTGGGGAGCCTGCAATGACTGCACATCTGCAAACAGGCTAGCACTCTGTTCAGCCTGGCATAGACATAGCCAGGAAGCACCCAGAGTTAGGCCTGGCTCACGACACACCCTAGGACCACACAACAATAAAAGCACGCATGGCTCTCATTTACTGAGCTCCTACTGTAAGTACCTGGCTCTGTGCTAAGCTTATTGATGTGTATCATCTCATTGAGGATTTATGATGACCTCTTGAAATCACTGCCCTTATCACTCCATTTTATAGATGAATACTTTGGGGCTTGGTTGAACAGCCAGGAAGTGGCAAGCAGGGCTCCAACGGAAGTCCTCTGATGGGAAGCCCATTCTCTGGGGTCCATGCTCTGTGCCTGTGAATCAGACACAGACCCTCCGCTCTGGCCTGGTAACAGGGTGTGAGCTGATGTGGGATACAGTGGCGCAACAGAGATGGGGGAGGGGACAGAGCCAGAACACAGAAGTACTGAGCTGTGAACTTGCTGCCCCAGGAGGCCCTGGATGGCCTCAGCAGGGAGGGACCCTCGGGGAGGTAGAAGCAGCAGGTCTGGGGTCACAGGGCTGACCCAACCCTGTCTGATCCAAGCTTGGGGCTGTGAGGGACAGGGCTGGGAGGATCCACCTAGGCTATACAGGGTCCTGCACCACTGTTACAGAGGAAGAATCTGAGGTCCAGAGAGGAAAGTGACCTGCGTCAACTCACATAGCCAGTGAAGAACGGAGCTTGGGGATTCAGGCTCAGAGTGCTCCTGACGTTGCTCCTGGGGTGCCCCCAATCGTGGGTCTGCACTCTTGTTTCCTGCAGGCCTGGCTGTCCTCTAGACCTGGCTGGGGCTTTGTCCTGAATGGATCTGAAGGGGCATTGTCGGATGAGGCAAGAGTAGAATCTGCTGATCCCATTAGTGCCCCGCGGGCCCCTCACTCACTGAGCTCCCCGCCCCCTCCCTGCCCTCACCCTTCCACCTGGCTTGGTCCTTGCTCCTGCTCCCAGCAAATGTGCCTGAGGGAAGGACTTGGTGGTGCACAGATCTGGAAGATTTTGTGCAGAAAGTCAGGAGCGAGGGGGCTCCGTGTTGGAGTCTCGGCAGTGTGAACTCCACTGTGTATAAGCCCTGCGGCTTCAGGCCGGTGACCAACCTGAGTTCAATTTCCTTATGAATAAACGGATGATAATAGCACCTCCCTCAGGGGTTCCAGACCTTGCTACATTTTGGAATCACCTGGAGATCTTTAGAAATGAAGGGTGCCTGCTTCTCAGCTTCTTACCTTCTGACTTCATTGGCCTGGTATGCAGACTGGGCCCTTGGCTTTTCAAAAGTTCCTGGTTGATTCTGATACTAGCATGCAGCAAGGTTCGGGGGCCATGGTCCCAGGGATTGTTGCTGGATGAAAGGGGAGGATGCAGGCACCTGGGGAGAATGTCATACACAGAGATGTTATTGTTTATTTCCCTGCCTCTCGCTCTAGTTAATTGTAGGGGTCTGGTGGGGGAGGGAGGGCTTTCTTTTCTTCCCTCCTTGCTTCCTTCTTTTTTTTTTTTTTTGGCAGTACTGGGAATTAAACACAAGACCTTCACACTGAGCTACCTCCCTAGACCTATTTCTTTATTTCTTATATTGAAACAAGGTCTCATTAAGTTGCAGGCTGGATTGGAGTTTGCAGTTTGCCCGCCTCAGCCTCCTAAAATGCTGAGATTACAGGCGTGTGCCAGTGCACCTGCCTGGGTTTTCATTTCTATTCCATGATGGGTCTGTCTGCCCCTCAAGCGGCTCTGGCTGGTCTTTAACTCGAAAAATCCTCCCTTGCCCCGTTATAATCTTGGCCATCCTAGTGCCAGCCTTGGTCTTGCTGACACGTGTGAAGGCCTTGATTAGTTGGGGGGCAGGGAGGGGAGTCAGAATGTGCTGTGTTCAGTAGCAGGTGGATAGCTCCCCCCACCCTATGGCCGACAGTGCAGGTGTGTGGTGCCCGCTCCAGCTGTACTCAGTGGCCTGACCTGGGGGTCAGGGGAGGGTGTTGGGGACGGAGGTGGCGGAGAGGCTGCTTCTTCAAAACCCTCCGCTCTGCTCTTTGGCACAGGCTGAGGCTCTGCTGTGAGGGAAGACACATTTCCCCAGATTCCTCAGCTGTCCTGACAGGAAGTTGTGCATCACTGTGGGCTGACAGGAAGGAAATGGCTCTGCTGCAGGAAAGAAAGAGACTCCTGACTGGGGCTCAGGGAAAAGGTGTCTGCTTGGGGAAGCCGTTTTGTCCGCCTAGGAGGACTCTCTCCCCTCAGGCGATTTCCCTGTTTATTTTCCTTTGAGTGGCAAAGATTGGATCCAGCTAATGAGGAGCAGCGAGAGGAAAGTGAGAAGGGGCTGTGAGATTTCGGGAGGGGGAGCCTGGCGGCTGGAGGCGGGGTGCAGCCCTGAGCTTTAATCAGCCTCTTTCCTCCCCTGCGCCCTGCTTTGGGGAGCTGTGAGGTGACAAAGCATTTTGTGATCTCACCTGCCACTTCTTCCTCCATCTACCAGCCATACCTTTGCAGCAAATGCTTTTGATTTCTATTTCTTTTACCACCCAAAAAAACCCACAGTGAATCTTTTAATAGCACAAGGCCTTTTGGAGCCTTAACCAATCAGTCGCCAAATCCTATCCAAAGTGCACTCAGAATAGACGCTTTTAATAAAATACATCACCTTTAAGCCAACAGAAACCTGTGAAATTTGTACATTTCTTTTAGAGCATCTCTACAAATTTTACAATATTGAAATCACCACCCAGTGACCTTTCAGGAAATACTAGATAAATTGCAAGAGATAAATAGACAGACCAAATGGGGTGAGGACAATTTCCAGGGCCTTTCCTGGCAGCTTCCCAGGCTGGGGCCTAGAAAACCCAATCCCCTGGGCCCCCAACGCAGTTCTGAGGCCTCCCCTGCCCCACAGACCTGGCTCTCCACCCTGCTCCTGGCAAGGACCTCCCAGCCACAGTGCCCTCAGAGAACTTTTGGCATCTCTGACAAGCAGTACTGGTATATGGCTCCCACTGTGTTTGCCTGCATTTTGTCATTCAAAACACTTCCACTGGTGGCCAGAGCCCCTGGAGATATTCTTGTGGGTGGCTGAGGGCTGCTTGCCCAGGGCAAGTGGCAGGGAGTCAGTGGTCTTGCTTGGTGAGAGCTGAGCTGGGGGCTGAGCCTGTTGACTTTCCCCATGGAACATTCTCCATGCCCCAGCCAGCCTTGGTCTCTTGGTTGTGAATGTCACTTTGTGACTGCCTGAGCTGTTCTGTGGAGCCACCGGCCTTGCTGTGTTTCACGTGGGGACCTTCCCTCCCTGCTGGTTGCTGGTGCTCGGGGCTATGAAGCAGGGGTAAAATCCTCTGTGTAGTTTGTGTAGGGAAAGCAATTGGAAGGCAAAGGGTTTGTAAAATTATATCCCTTAGAGCCCTCCAAGGCTCTCCGGAGACTCAGTGCTCCTCTGGGTTATGGGAACTGCTCCCCTGGGGTGTAGGTACTCAGGGCCTCGGAGCAGTGACGGGGCAGTGGCGCTGCTGTGCTTCCTGGAGATGCCATGGTCCTCTGTTTTTTTTTTTTTTTTGGTTTTTCTCCGGTACCGGGAACCGAACTCACGACCTTGCGCTTGCCAGGCAGGCGCTTTGCCGCTGAGCTAAATCCCCAGCCCCGGTCCTCTGTTAATGGGCTCATAGCATGGATAAGCGAAGGTGGTCTCCAGCCTGTCTGCTTTGCCCTCACTGTCTAGTGGCCTGTGCCAGCCTCAACAGGAGGGGATACCTGGGTCCCTGAATCTCAATTGCTATTTTTCCCATGAAGTTATCACCTCCCAACAAGGAGCGGGAGGAGAAGAACATCTGGGTCACAGTGTCCCGTATGTGCCACCTGTACGGGAAGTAGCTTCAAGGGCAATGAGGCACTGTCAAGGTGGCCCGGAGTTCATTCACTCCTTAAGTTGATAATTGATTCTACAAATATTAGTGGAGTTTCTCTCACACCAGGCACTATGCTAGAAGCCAGGGATTGGGGGAGAGAGAGTTACAAAGATCTGGCTTCTGTACCCAGAGAGTTCAGGCCTGGTAGAAAGAGGCCAGATCACTTAGGTTGCTTCCCAAAGACGCTGGGCCGTGTGGGAGAGGAGGCAGCCCCCTGAGGGCGACCCAGGGGGAGCTGGCTGGAAGAGGGAGCTGCATCTGGAAGTCTCACTGGGAAGGTGTCAGGCAGCAGGGCAAGCTCCTTATCAGCCCAGCAAGCATATGCAAAGGCTGGAGGAGTAAGCAGTGCTGTGCATTTTGAAGGAATGGGGCTGGTCACTCAGTCTGACTAGAACCCATGGAGCTGTGGGGCTGGAGAAGTGGGCAGGACTCAGACCACAACATTCCACTGGGCCCAGGAGCTGCAGGAGTTGCAGAAGGTTTTGAGGAGCAGGGTGCATTATGTTCCTCAAGGGTATGGTATGGGCAGCGAGAGTCTAGCTCTGATTCTACATCTGGATCTCATAGCTGAGTGACAGTGGCCACATCTGGGCCTCAGTGTCCTAGCCTGTGAGATGTGAGGATGCACTGCTTGTCCCAGCCTGACATTTTCCCGCCCGTGATCACCTCCTTCTTTGGCCCCCACACCCTTTGTCCTGTACTTGTCTGTCCACCTGACCCCTAGCTCTTGGCTGTCCCACTGCAGTCAGCAGCTGGTGACAGCTGCAGGAAGAGGGGGAGTCCTTCTGACCCTTCAGTCTCTGAAGGTCTGGCCCCTTTTCCCAGCTGGCCAGGAACACCTCCTTCTCCCACCCCAGCTCACAGCCCTCGGCCCAGCTGGGTTTCTTCAGTGAAGCAATCCGTTCCCCTAGGCCTCCACCCCGCTTCCACCTGGCCCCAAGTGACAAGTGGCAGCTGATGTGAGGTAGCCACTGGGTAGCCAGTGACATTCGTGTAGAGAGATGACTGCATTTGACCATCATAGTCTCTTTCCTCTGCTCTGACACAGGCAGTGTTGCCAGGTGCCTTGGTCATCTGTGGGGACCACACTGGCTTTTTCTGCCCAGGGACACCCAGAGCTGCTGGTGTAGGAGGCCTTGAAAAGAGCCACGGGGAAGACGTGTCCCCCACAAGCATCATGCGCCCTGGTGCCTTTCCAGCTGCCGAGTTCGCTCTGCATCCTCAGCTCCTCCAGGGCGAGGAACCGGAAGGGGTTGGCTGGGATTTCTGTTTTCCTAGGACTTTGATCACAGCTGTTAGAGTTAAAGGATTAAACAGTGGGCTCTAAATAAATAAATATCTGTTTAGTCAGTGGGATGAGGAAATTAAAGGTGAATCAGATATGTAGTGGAGTAATTTTGCTTGGTTCTCTGCTTGGGATTATGACATGGTATTGCATTTACTCATTCATTCATCAGTCATTTATTATGTGTCAAGTTCTGTGCCAGGTGATAGGGACAGAGAGGCAGAGAAGACCCAGACCCTCAACTAGAGTCTGGAATGACCACTCAGTGGGCATCCTAGGGTTATGTGACCTCAGAGGCTCCAGCACAGCTTCACACTCTGCCTTTTAGCTGGCAATCTTCTTTTCCTTTTCCTTTTCCTTTTTCTTTTTTAAATTTTGAGACAAGTTCTCCTTAAGTCACTAAATTTCCTAGTCTGGGCTTGAATTTGCAATCTTCCTGCCTCAGCTTCCCAGAGTGCTGGGATTACAGACATGTGCCACCAGGACTGGCTTAGCTGGTAATCTTAATGCCTGTTCCTGGAAAACACAAATAGTGCAAAAGGGAGAAAATGTGGGTGAGGAGAATGAGATGAGGGTGGAGGAAGAAACAGAGATGGAAGAAAAGCAGCACTAAATTTTCCTAAAGCAAGGTGCTCCAGGCAGTGTGCAGTTCTAACAAGAGTACTGAGAATAGAAAGACTCATATTCTCTCTCTGCTTTGCCCTGTCACTCCTGCTTGTTGCCTCAGTTTCTCCATCTGCCTCAGTTTCTCCACCTTTCTCCTTGATGGGTGAGGTTTTAGACTACTAGGTGATCTTGGGGATCTGTTTAGAACCAGCTTCTGTTAGTGGAAGGCCGGTAGGTCTGGGGCAGGGTTCCACACCAAGCAGAAGACCCAGTGTTCCTCCAGCTTCGACCATCTCAGCATGGAGGAAGATGCAGATGAGGCCAAGGGGAGCCCCTTGGTCTCTTCCCTCTGTAAGAGGTGCCTTCCGCTGCTACTTCTGCTGGATGGCAGGAGATGGATGGTCCTGGGTCTCCATGTTTGCATATTTTTCTGATCTGGATTAACTATTTGGGGAGTTACTTAGTTTTTTGACTTTCTGTCAGGATTGCTCTGGTCCATCTCTGGCTGTCTCCTTGGCAAATGGCTTTGGGGGCTGCCCCATATGTGTGGCCACCAGGCCATGTCAAACCACATAGCCTGAGGGTCACATTCCAAAGAGCACTTTGCAGTTCACACTCGTGGATCTATAGAAAAGATTTGGACATGTTTTGGCAGTGTGGCATTAGAAGAATTTGGGCTCTCACTATGTGACCTTGGGTAATTGTTTTAAAATGCTGAGGCTTAGTTTTTCTGCCCTTAAAATGGGAGTGGCTCTCTCTGTCTCCCAGGGATCAAATAGGAAAATGTGCCAAAACAATACCCCACCACCACCACAAAACCTTTGTAAACAGGAAAGCCCTAAACTGATGGCCTGGACACAATGATTCAGTAGCAAATATATTCTGAAATTCAGCCCTCTCCATGGCTGCAGCACCCTCCGTGCTGAGAAATTTGAGCCACAAAGTGTTAAAGTAGGTTGTGCACATGACTGTGATTGTCCATAATTGATGGAATAAACCTGAAAGTTGACATATCACTGCAATTAATCCAGGCACTATGACACTACCTTGCTAAAAATAGCGTCTACTAATAAGTGCTTTGATCTAGCGAAGTGATGCGTGCTCATTAGCCTGGTTGGGGCAGGACAGGGAAAGGGTGCACCGATGGCCACACTGTAGCCCACCCTGCCGGCTCTCCTAGGTGGGTGTGAACGTTGGGCGATGTGGGGCAGGGGGGCAGGCAGGGGCCCCATTCCCTCAGATCCTAAGGCAGCAAATGCTGCGTGGATAGGGTGATTGTATGATTCGTATCCAAATTGGGACACTTTGGAAAGTAACATATTAATAATTACTATCTTATTAATAATCATGCCAGATAACAGGCATGAACTGGACTGTCCGGCTAAACAGGTGTGCTGTCCCCCTATGTGTAGCCAGAGCTCTTAGGAGCCTCTGACTGCTAGGGCAGTTTCATGTTCACAGTCTGCTCTTCCTCACAACAAGCCTGGGACGAAGGAAGGAGTTTTGCTCTCACTTAATAGATGCTGCAGAGGGCGATGGAGCCGAACAGTCCAGCTGTAGTCTTTGGCCTGATTTCCTCGGTGGCTGACCCCATGCAGGTAGAGGACAGCTGGCCGGGAGCAGGGCGCTTTGTGGCGCGAGGCTGGCTTCTGTGAGAGGAAGCAAGTGTTCCTGTCTGCGGGGAGAACAGGGCATGGTTCTCAGCAGGGACTTGGCCCAGGACTTTTCCAGTCCCGGGCTTGGGATCAGAAGTCTTGCATTTAAGTTCTAGCTCCTCTGCTCCCAAGGTACACAGTCTTGGCAAAGCACGTAACCATTCTGTGCCTTAGTTTTCCCATTTGTTGAGTAGGAACATGAACATCTTTTTATGAGGATTCCCTGAGATCTTGTGTGAAAATGGATGGATAGACTCCAGGTCCTCAGAGTTTGAGTCTGGAGAGTTCCCAGAAGGAATTCCTTTCAGCAGGAGCCAGGGGATGCTTCTGCCTTGAATAGGGCTAACTGGGCCCAGTTAGGGTAGACTGAGCAAGTGCCTTGACATGGGGATAGCTCAAGTTCTTGGAGCAAGAAGTGGGTAAAATAAGCACGTGAAGGAGTTGTGAGTTCTTGCCCTCCTGCCACCCACCCCCAGACCATGCACCCTCCTGCCTTGTGATTACATGGAGCTCCACACAGGCCAGCAGCCCAAGTGACCTGTGGCCCAGCCTTCTTCTGGGCCTTTTTTTAAAAAAAAAATTATTTTAAAAATAAAAGAACAAAAACATATTAACAAACAGACATCCATTTACAAAATAGCATAAGAACAATACAAGCAATACTGAATTACAGACAAAGTGATGGGAAATTAACAATGGTTCTTGTATTACATATTGATATCTTCAAAGTGGTTTCTCAGGAAAACAAAGACATGCAAGATTGATCAAATAATTAATCATTAACTGCTCCTTTCAGTAAAGCGACAGAAGTCAGTAGTACAACTATGTTAGCTACCCTATATAGATATACATATATAATTTCCCCTTCTTTCCTTTCTCTTTTCCTTCACCCCAGTTGCTCTTTCCTTTTGAGCAGTTTCCTTTTGTTTCACAATGTCTATCATGCCTCCTAATTTGTATTCACTCTTTCAGGTTCTTACACTAGTAAGACAATACGTTGCTTGGACACGCAGATCTGATTTATTTCACTTATGAGTATGGTCTCTAGTTGTGACTGTTTACCTGTAAAAGCCTCGAGTTTATCTTCCTTTCTTCTGGGCCTTCGGATGAGCTTGTTGGGGCGCAGACAAGTGAAGTGGCTTGTGTGGTGCCCCAGTGTAAGGATCATGGCACTCAAAGCAAAAGGAAAGGAGATAGGCAACAGTTTGGTGCCAGGGAGCCAGGGGAGGAGAGAGACAGAGACACAGGGAGAGAGAGAGAGACAGACAGACAGACAGACACACACAGAGAGAGAGAGAGAGAGAGAGAGAGAGATCGAGAAAGAGATCTCCTTGTTTGCCCTATGTTTGGTCTCCTGCGCTTCTATCAACATCATCCATCACATCCAAACAATGGAAGAGCCGGTGCCAAGTGGTTAGGAGTTAACAACTCATGGCTTTGCTGAGTTCCTGAAAAACACTCGTTCCACTTCTTATGCAGCACCGAAATGCCAATTGTTTCATGCCAACTGGTTATTTTTCCAGACCATTTCCCTTTATTTATGTTTAAGCTTTTGTGTTTTTAAGCGAAAGGAAGACGGAGAACCTGGAGTAGGTAATTATTATTTCTCTCCGTTTGCCCTTGAGTGAGCCGAAGGAGAAATGCGACTTTCCTAGCTCTGAAGGGACCACCCGAAAAAGCAGGAGAGAGGGCTGAAATGGGGCTCTGCCCTTTTCAGGTGCACTGGGGCTGCTGGCAGTGTGGGGAAAACACCAGCCCAAACTTTGGGAGACTTCGGGCGGCGTCACCCTGGTCTGGGACTGGGTGTGGGTAGGACAGAGCCTTTCCCGGGGCTTCGGTTTCTTTGCTTGTGAAATGAAGGCGTTGATTTAGATGGCCCGAAGGCCCCTTCCAGTCAAGCCCGAGCATCGGGTGGAGGCTGCTCTGCCTTGCGCGGGTGTGGAAGCCGTAGGAAAAAGCTGCTGCTCCCAGAATGCAAGAAACTCCCAGCAGCCTGGGCATACGGGCAGAGCTGTTCTTTATCTGGGAAACTCCGGAGCAGCCTTTAGAGACGTCTGTGCGGCCTGACAGGATGATGTTTTTCTCACCATATGTGATTTCTGGGTATCTTAAAAATTTTCATTTGGCCCAAATATCGCCAGCCTTGGGGGATGATTCTGACTGATGTGGGGATGGCAGTGGGTTTGCCTCCAGGCACCAGGTTGGCAGATAGGCAACAGATAGGCAGATTTTCTCCACACTGGAGTTCTCTGAGGAAGTTGGAGGGAATAGATGGGGCTGTGGTGCAAATAAGGCAGGAGCTGGAGGGAGGGGAAACCGTGGGCAACTTAGGAGGGGTAATGAGGCTGGGAGATCCAGGGTAGGGGGCAGTCTGTGGGCCTTGCCATGTCACACCAGTGCTCCTCTGTGTCCATCAGCTAATGCAAGTCAACATTCTTTTTTTTTTTTTTTTTTGGTAACAGGAATTGAACTCAGGACCTTGCACTTGCCAGGCAGACATTGTGCCACTGAGCTATAGCCCCAGCCCCAAGTCAGCATTCTTATTTCAAGTTATAGCTGTCCAGAGAAGAACTTAGCCAGCTCCTTGTAACTGGCTGGCCATGGCTCCTGCAGGGCACCTGGGAATCTGGGGTACACCTTGGGGGTGATAGGTGAGGTAGGATGGGGAGATGGAGGCCTAGGCCTGAGACAAGATGGGTTGTGTTGGTTCCATACTAGCCAGGAACCCAGTCTAGCTGGGAACATAGAGCTTTCTGCAGAGCCGAGGGATTTCCTGCTGTGTTATTGGTTTGGGGGCCAGATAGATTTTAATAAGGGAAAATAAAACTGCTTCAAAGCAAGCCACCATGAAAGCATGGTCAGTTGTTTCAAATAGTCTAGAACACTTAAGAAAATAGGGGCTTCTGAAATCTGGATGAAATACAGGGACCAAACCCCTGGCAAGGAGTGTAGTGAATGCAGTGTTTGCAAACTTTTGGTACGGCTGGGCCTCATCTGGAGGTTGGATAAAGGTGAAGGGGTTCACCTCTGTATCCCCAGGCTGGCAGGATGAACACCAGGGCTGGGGCAGAGATCTTCACTGTGTACCTCTGAGATGAGGGTGCGGTGTGGTGACCTTCAGAACCCAATACGAGTGGCAAATATGTGTTCATCACAGTTCGAGAAGGTTAGAGGGGCCTTTGACCTCCCAAGGGTAACGTGATTGCTGACTGCCCAAGAACATTCGCAGTCCACAGCAGAGGAGGACAGGTAATCAGAGGCAGATTGTTAGAGCAGCAGCTCGGGTGACTGGGTGACAGATCTGCAGGTGACTTTCAGGAGAGGGGCCGGGCTTTTGGAGAACAGATGAATTCAGGAACTGTTGTAGGAAAACGAGTGGGAAGGGCTGCCTACACCTATGAGCACAGGCCTGGGAGCTCTAAGCCTGACTCCTAAGCTTTGCCCTAACCAGGTTGCTGTTGGGTACGAGGCAGGCCAGCCTCACTGGGCCTTGGTGTCCTCCAGTGGAATGAGTGGTAGGGACTAGCTGAGTTCCAAGGGCACCGCTAGACCTGCCTTCTACACCTTTATGAATATGTGTCCAGAGAGCAGCTCCCTTGATGAGGAAATTGGCATAGGTAGCTCTACTGCCAGGGTCAGACAGGCCTCACAACCAAGCAGAGACCAGATGACCATATCAGGAATCTTACATAGGGGAAGATGGGCTACAGAACAACATAGTTTGTTGTTGTTTGTTTGTTTTTTTGGTACCAGGAATTGAACTTAGGACCTTGTGCTAGCCAGGCAGGCGCTATGTCACTGAACTACATCCCTGGCCCTAACATAGCTTTTAAGGGTCCTCCAGTGCCAAGATTCATGACTCGCTGCTTGTGTGTGTGACCATCTATGATGGCGTCTCAAGGCTGTGATGGTGGCCCCCCCATGCTGGGCTTCTTTCCTGTACTCTAGAGCACCAACTGCCATTCCCTGCCTTCACACAGAACCAGAGTTGTTTTTTGTTTTTTTTTTTTTTAAGTGTCTAGGTCTTGCCTGTAGAGATTCAGAGTTAGTTGTTCAGGCCAGGAACCAAGCAAGGTCAACTCAGGTCTAGGACCTGGGCAATTGGTGCCTGGTCGGCTTATTTTGCACTTCTATACCCTGTGGTGGGATGAGGAGATACAATCATCTCTGGTTTCATATTGCCTCTGATGGAGCTCAAAAGTTTGAGGTTGTATTTGTTATTTCACATTCATTCACCCAACAAACATTTGGTAAGTGTTTCTTTGTGTCTGGAAGAGCCCTGTGGGGGCCAGCTTTGGTTCCCTTTAGAGCAGCAAGTACCTTTCAAAAGGCCCTGAAGAAGACCTTGTGATGTGTTCATCCACTTCCCACAGCACAGTGCCTGGCACTTGCAACCAAATTTCTGGTTGAATCCCATGGATTCCTTGCCAATACTGTATAAGGGGCAGGAAAATAAATGACAAGAAACCGTGCAGTAGAGAACTCCCAATATGTCAGCCCCCCTCTGCCCAAACCTTGTAAAGGAAACCATCTTCTTAATTGGAATTATGTTTGTGGCCTGGAGGGGTGACCTGTGTGACTTGATATTTTGGGAGCGTGGTCTCCCAAATGACCTTTTCTTGCCTTCCTTGGGGCATTGCACAGCGGGAGAGCCTGGGCCTGGGGAGGATCATCGCTTCCTAATTGGTGTCCTGGTCAACCGCTCTGGCTTCACTAAACATTACTAGGCCACCCTCTGCTGAGACCTGAATGTCCTTGTCATTAACTGCATGATGTCCCTCAGACATCAGGTTCTATCTCCTGGAAGTGACAAAGCAGAGGGCTACAGAGAAATGCCCCAGGCCAGAGTGACTTTATGAGTTTTATTCTGAGTCCACTGGCTTCCTTCACTCCACAATCATTTCCTGTCTGTCTTCCCTATGCCAGCCTAGGCCTGGACCGGATATGTGAGAGGACACAAGCCCCAGGTCCTGACCTCAGGCTGTTCACTGCCTGTCATGCCACTAAGCCACTGAGGTTTAATGGCAGCATGGCTGGGGCCTTGCCAGAGAGTGGGGGAGACAGGATTGGTCCTGCTGGGAAGGCTGGGCCTGGAAGGGAGATGCTCCGATGATTGCTATCCTGCCTGATTCCTTCCATACCCTGACTGGGAGAGCACAGATGTTTCAAGTAGAGTAGCTAAGGTTTGACTCTCACCTCCCCCACTTCCTTGCCCAGGGTCTGTGGGCGGGTGACTGACTCCTCGCCCTCCTCTCCAGCATGCGTAGAGGCTCTCACTGAGGGGTGGGGAGGGGTTTCAGACGGACCAGTGCAGGGTCCGCGTTAGCTGTTGCTTCGATCGTCTCCCCTAAGTTCCCATGACTGGGTGGCGGTGTCTACCTGCTGGCACATCTCTAAATTTCATTCCCTTCTTTCAAATATTAATATTCAATTGATATTTATAGGCCTACTGTATTGGCAGCTTTCTGTGGCGGTGATAAAACACTCGATGTTCACAGCACGCGGGAGGAAAGGCTTATTTTGGCTGACTGTTTCAGGTGTCAGCCCATGACCCATGGGCTCCAGTGCAGAATCGCTATGGTGGGAAGACATGGCGGAGTAAAGCTGCTCAACTCGTGCTGCCTGGGAAGCAGAGAGAAGAAGAGGCAGGGAGGAAGGGGCTGGGGGTCAGATTCAGTCTCCACAGTCACGATCCTGAAACCCACCCAAACACACCCAGAAGTGTATGTTTCACTAATCTCCGAGCATCTTTTCACCCAATCAAGTTGACATGTGAGAGTAGCCGTCATACCTGCTATGTGCTGGACAATATTCTAGGCATAGGGACACAAGGGGAATAAGTGAATAAAAAAGTCCTCCCCTCTGGGGCTTACATTTTGGCAGGGGTGAAAGACTGTGAACAATGTCAGTGAGTGACTAGGAGTAGTTGGTGACGAGTGCTCTGGTCACCCCAGCTGGGGTGGTGCCAGTGGGGGACAGATAGGAGGCATGGACAGCCTTAGAATGGATATGGGATGCAGGCACGCCAGTGGGGCTCTTGATGCTGGGGTGTCCTGAGTAGTATTTAGGTGCCTCCAGCTGAGATGATGGGACTAGGACCTTGGGCACAGATGGTGGCTGAGGAGAGCACAGGAGGATGGAGC